CTACAAGCAGTTGAACCAGGGCCGCAGAGTAGATCTACCGCGCGCCACAGACACACGTATGTAGATATGATATTATAATCCCAAACTGGGATAAAACTTGTTGTAGTTCACGCAATTGGGACCGGGGCTCTGCCAACCGCGGAAGGTTGTAGTAAGGTCACTGTTTTCGAACACAGTGTCCTCCTCCTTGTTTCATGCTGTCAATCTAACAATTACGTATGTAGATCTGCAAGACTTAGTAATACTACAACCACTTGAACCAGTACTAGTAACTAGTAGATCTACCACGCACTTCACCACTCATACACACTGTGACACTGTGACATGATTGTCACAACGCGCATGGCAAGTGTAGATCACAATGCAAGGTAGAGCCAAGAATACATAACCTACTCTTGGTAGAGCTAGAAGAGAGGATGATGATGCAACGCCAACGATATAAAAATAATATGATGGGGGTGCTGGGTGCATGCTGCTTGCTCCGATACAACAGTGGAGCTCTTGGGCACTTAAATCTTTGCTCAGATGAAAATGAGAAGAAAACCGCTAGCGCTGACGTGACCTTCGCCGTTCACGTCACTCTTCATGATCTTCGTCTTGCAGGCTGTTGAATCGCGTGCAATCCCAGCACAAGTATTAGTAAGTTAGTTGCTATGGCTTCTGCTGCAGCATCGCTATCATCGCCTATGTCAGGCTATGAGGCTCTGGCGATGGCCGTCAAATGATCAAAATTTGACCATTTGACGGCCATCGCCATAGGCGATGATAGCACTCTTCGAGCTTCACATAATTATTATAGTATAATTATTACATAGCAGACTCAGGGGAGGACGTTCAGGTTGGTTGTAACTCTGAGTTTCATGCCGTTAGGCAATCATCAGACAACTGATACTCGGGTCTACCCGACAGTATGCCTACATAGGGCCACAAGTATAAACAAATTTAGCGCTAAATCTGGTGTAAGGTGTGGGGAGAAAGCTGGCGCGGGCCAAGGCGCGACAGTAGAAGTGCCAGGAGGGTGGTGGGCAACAGGCAGTTGTGAGCATGAATTTAAAGCGCGGAAAGAGGCGATGGGGAGGCAGTGTACCGCAGATGGGTGGAGGTGCCAAGAGGATGGCGGACAATGGGCCAGTGAGATCGCTAGAGGGTCTTTGGCCGTTGGGTGACGGGCAGGCGTGAGCAGAGTGGCACAGCCAACAACAGGCCAAGGGATTGTGTTATTATTCAACTTATTTAAAATAATAATTATTGATATTGGGGTGCTCAGGCAAAGTGCAGTACAGTACTTGGTCAGTTCATTTGATAGGTGTGAAATTTGCGAGGCGGAACTTATTCTTGGGTAGAACCGAGTATCAGTTGCCTGATGATTGCCTAACGGCATGAAACTCAGAGTTACAACCAACCTGAACGTCCTCCGCTGAGTCTGCTATGTACTAAGCTCTGTCTCTGACATTGACTGATTGAGCACTCTCTGCAGCTTGGGGATCCACGGATTTGATTAGTATAATTATTTATTTATTATATATCGGCTCAGTCTTTTCCCAGACGTTCAAATCCCGATATACATGTATGTACCATGATGATACAGCAACATGTAATGTTAATAATAATTACTGACGTCATGACGTTGCCCACATACAAAGCGCAACATGTTGCTGTATCATCATGGTACATGATGCATCGGGATTTGAACGGCTGGGAAAACACTGAGCACAAAGTACAGTACTGTGTAACACGTGTATTTTTGGTGTAATTTAAATTTCGGTAACATCGGTGGAGGTCCTGTATCTCTCTGCGCACCAACGGCATCAGCTTTCGGTCCTTGACAAGCGATGTATCCGCTGCGTTGCCAACCAGCCATTCCCCTCGAGATGCCACACAGATCCCATCTACACACGTCCTGGCCTCATTCTCATCATCCAAAAGGCGCCCGCTGTAAACTCCGCCTCCTTATGCGTCGTCTCCACGACGCCAGAATTAGCTGAGGCAATAGCAAAGTCACACCTTAGTGGATCCAAAATAGAAATCTGATGTCAACTTACTACTCCCTGGAAAGGAAAAAGAACAAAACAAAAACGGCAGTAGAAGGCGAGTCACCTAGCAGGACGACTACAAGTACAAGCCTAGATGCTGGCCATAAAAAATATAACTTCAAAAATTGTGGACTCAGATGGAGAGCCAAGGTTTAATTTAGAGAAAGACCAAGGAACTACAAGTTACGCTATACTGTCCACTAACACCATCATTATTTTACTAAACAATCAGGCTGTTGGAGTGCGCATCCAAGATGTGCTAGAGCTGTTAGCCAGTTAGTTGTAGAACGTCAGTACCATCGGTCAGTGTCGTGCAATGTTATCGCATGAGCTGATTGTTTAGTAACTGGTGGTGTTAGTGGACAGTATAGCGTAACTTGTAGTTCCTTGGTCTTTCTCTTTTTTCAAAAGTTGTGTTATCATATCCCTATGTGGGTGCAAAGCAACCCACTCATGTCGTATGCAGGGGTGACTTTTACTTCGCCACCAGGTGTCACCCCGCCCCCATTAGCCAAATCAGTCAGTTTCACTGGCTACATCACCTTGCGGTGAGTAAGACCACTTGAAATGTGCTTGGATCCATACAAAAACTTCCACTTGGATCCAGTTTTTGTATGGATCCAAGCACATTTCAAGCGATTTGGCTACCGGGGGCGGGGTTACAACTGGTGGCGAAGTAAAAGTTGACGTCATCACTTTCAAGCCCTATTGAACACTCACTGCATGATGAACTAAAATGAGGAGGAGAAATCGACGCAATGGTACATATCCAGCAGGACGGAGTGAGTGGGACCTAGGCACCGGCGGATTATGCCGGCATAATTATTGGCATAATTTGGTGGTTGAAAATTTGGAGCATAATTTGGCATCCTTTCGGAGGTAGGAGCATAACTGCATGATTGTATCACAGTTTTAGTATGTAGGCGACACAGTTGTGTACAATGCACCTGATCAGTGCTGTTGGTCTGCATGGTAAAGGGTTCGGGGGTCATGCAGATAGTGTTTTCAATGAAAAGCAGGGTAGAAATCATGGAAACCATTTTGTGTGCTCGAACTCGTCTTCTCAAAGTTCTTTCTCACCCTGATCCAGTACATGTGGCAGAAGATGCGAGTGAATCAGCCTTTATTATATCAGGTATCCCGGGGCGGACGAGATAGCGATGGGTAGTCCGCAAAACTCCGCGTACATGTACACTAAGCTTGCTACGAAGTCATGACGTCTGGATCTTAGCAGCTATGACTGTGCAGGCTATGGGTATTGCTCTAATAACTAAACAAATTGAGGTATAGTTGATGTTCGGTAATGATGGAAGGAGAGCTGGAGCTACGGGAGAGATGAATTCGCAGGGTTAGGGTGACATCAGTTGGACGAGTATGACGATTACGAAGAAAGTTGAACATGACAGTTTTCAAAGGTAAGGAAAAAATCTTTCAAAGCAAAAGAAGTCAACTAATGAATAGAAGAAGTCATGATTATGTTCTCTCTTTTCCGGGTTGATCTCTAGTTAGGCCTTGACGGATTATGCTAGCATAATTTTTCGCATAATTCCTACCAAAATCGAATAATCGCATAATTCGAGGCAAATTGCATACGAATCGCATAAATTGGAACAATCCGCCTGTTCGCATCAAATTCCATACAGCTGTACATGTTCCACAAGTACAAGTACAGGAAGTCGTAGGTTTTCGACTCCCTTGATAACATGTCCAGTCCACTACAATCAGTGACGGTCGTAGCTAGGTCACACGGTGCGTTGACCCCGTTGAACTTTTGCTACTACAAGTCTACAGTACAGCGCCCTCTACAAAAAAATTCCCCTGTTATTTTGCACAGAACCATCATACATGTACATTAGTAGCATACATGTATGTGAGCATAATGCGGCATAATATGATAACTTTTAGCATAAAAATAGCACAAGTTTGCAATTTTTTCAGCAATGCGAAAAGCATAATTAATTTTAACGAAAATATTAGCACAATCCGTCAAGGCCTATCTCTAGTATGCATGGACACCTTGGTATGGGGATACTCATGTATTTTGTTGTACTTATGGCCACTTGCAAGTACGAAAAGGCACAATTTTCCTAACTTTGAGGCCCCATAAGCACAACAAAGTGAATATGTACATGTATATCCCCGCGTGCCAAAGCATAATAATTATGAGGATTTTGCGAGCATAATGCGAGAATCCATGAAAGCATAATTCCATGGTTTCGCGGGCATAATCCGCCGCGGGTCCCACTAGCTAGGCACCGGCGCCTAGTACCAGTGGGACCTGTGAAGCTCAGCCGACCAAGGCCAGGCCAGGCCCAGGGTCTCGGCATCACAGCTGCACAAGTCATGTGCAGTATGCATGCGGTCAAACGACGTACATGTAGATGCCAGCAAAGGCACCATGCCATGGTAGATGATCTACATGGTCGACCAGTCCTGGACTGGAGATGTCCTAGATCAGATAGGACATCATGGAACCAAGCATACATCTATGCTGTTTCCATAGTAATCGTGACACGTGACTCAAAACTTTGTGTCGCGTTTGAGGAAGATGAACATGTCGCACTCAAAACAAACGCAACGAAGGCCTTTCGTGGTCGACATGGTCCCCCCCCCCCCCCCGGTCACACATGGTAGATCTACAGATCTACGTCGACTACGACATGAGCGCAGTGTCTCACGCGCAGTCAGCCAGTCGGCATGCAGGCAACTCGGTCACCGACCCGCCGCGCGCGCCGTCAACAATGTTACATGGTCAACCTCCACGGCATGCATGCACCATTTGTGCACCAGCCTACCACCACGCACCATGCAGGTCAACACTACTGAGTACTGTCGTAGATCTACTGACAACAGACTCGACTCATCATGCATGGTGAGTGGGATAAAAAAAAGAAAAAAAGAGTCAAGCTGCAACTAATACTTGCAAGATCAAGTCAAGGACTCTCTCGTGCACTTCCTGGCATGACGGTTCAGTGGATGATGGAACTACTTCTTCGCTGTGCTCCTTCCGTCCATCTGTACTGTCCTCTGTAGCTGTATCATTATTGTATGGTCTGGAAGTAGATATCTACGCAGCATAGTCATAGATTTGGCCAGTGCTTCACCGAGCAGTAGTTACCTACACTACAGCTGCTGCAGGTAACTGGTCAAAGCGCTGCATGCACTGCACAGAGTCAGTGCACTGCAGAGGACAGTGGCTAGTAACACTAGTACTAGCATAGAGGAACTAGTGTCGCTGAAGTGAAGGCAAGCTTCGTGCTTGTGCACTACGTTACAACTAGCTGTAGAGTAAAGGAGAACGTCGTTCCTTCAGGACGTTATCCTAGCAGCTAGCTCGACACGTAGTGGATAAGTCAGTAATATCGCAGTGCAGTGCAGAGAAAGCGAGCGCGCTGGCCGTAGTAGCAGGTCGTGCTGGAGCGCTGTTTCGTGGAGGCTAACGCTGGCTGCTAGCGCTCCTCGAGTGGCAGGATGAGCTTGAAACGAACCAAGAGTAAGTACATGACTGTGTACACCTACCGTTTGTTTGCGCTAGCTAGCGAGCGAGCGAAGAACATTGCAAGCTAAAATTATAGGCAAATGTAACTCATGTTCCACGGTTCAGCCTTGATACTGCTGGCTTGGAGCTGATTGATTGTCCTCCTAGAGATGACATGATTAGGATTGAGATTTTCCTGTTACCAAGTAATTAGTTACGATATAGATGATGGACGACTGACAGTTTCAATTTTCTTCTTCTTGTTTCTCTTACTCGTCCATCTGTTGTTTGCTTTCTGTGGGCCTTGTCGTTTCACCGAGACTGTCACCTCGCTGTGTGGCTGGCGCTGATGTGTGTGTGCTGCATGTGGATGTGCGATCAGTGGCGGCAAGGACTTAGTTGATCGATAGCGGGCACTTGCGCCCTCCGAAAAGTTGTCTTCGTCTGGATACTACATGTAGCACGAAATGCTTGCCTGGCCTGGGGAGTTACACGGGGATTTCTTGTGCCTGTTGCGCGTGGATGGACCACGAGGAAATGCCCCCCTTCTGCGTTGAGAATGCGGGCCTAGCGCCTAGTATGTGTGCGCTAGGCTTTTGGAAATTATTTTGATAGGTAGTGATTCCAGTAGCGGTTCTCTTTGTTTCTGGCAAAGTGATCACATCCGATTTTCACGTGAGGAGAGCAACGATTTTACTTGCTTCGTTCATTTTGCTCGCGTGCTCTCGAGTAACAAACTTTGGATCGCTGTTGTCACTGAGTGAGGAGGTACTTTCGCTTTTGTGTTCGCAGTTAGCCCCTTCAGGGCTGGCTCTTGTGTGGGTTGTGATGGGTGAAGTGATTCTGACTGCGCGATATGCGGAGTGACAGCGTGCGGTACAGTAGCTGTCCTCGGTTGCCGTGCGCGCTAGTTGTGCGGAAAAGGTTTCGTTCCACACTGACCATCCGAACAAGCGAGCCACCGCTCGGTTGTAGTAAGCCGAGGTAGCTACTCTGAAATCCTTCAGCACAACTAGAATTAGTAGAAGTCGAATATTTGTTACAGTTACTGTTCAGTTGGCCAGACTGGCCGGACGACCGTGTGCATGCGTGCGTGCCCTGATCCGATCAGCGGGCGCAGCGTAACGTAACGTTAGCGACTGGCATGGCGTGAGCGGCGAAGGGTCAGAAAGGAGATCGAGAACCGATGGGCTAGAATTATTTGATGTGCTTCTTGCAACGGTGTCATGCACGATATAACGACCACGGTCACACACTCTCTATCAGCATCACCATGAACCGACTACATTGTACTGGGACGAAGAGAGAGAGAGAGAGATAGAGAGATCGGACAAAGAGGTCTCCTCACAAACTGACTGCTCGCTCAGTATTTCTAGCGTCCCATCAAACTACTTGTTAGTTGTAGATAGAACGCCAGTAGTAGTAGCTGAAAACCTTGCCCACTCACGGTGACGGTTTGGTACCTTCCAGAAGGGGGGGGGGGGGGGGGGGGGGGCATTTCCAATACTGGATTTAATTTTATTTGAATCCAGTATTGGAAAAAGCAAAGTTTGAAGTATTAACATATTATTTCACCTCTCCTTCACCTCTCTTGTTGCGTGTGTCAGTTTCTGTGGATGGAAGAAATATTTGTACCTCACTGTCATCTATGTAGTGTGTTCTGCTTGCATGTGTGTGTGTGTTCTGCTTGCATGTGTGTGTGTTCTGCTTGCATGTGTGTGTGCTCTGCTTGCATGTGTGTGTGTGTTAGTGTGGTTGTGGTTATGTAGATACAACCAATGCAGACACTTAGTTTCTGTTTCCGTGGTAATTCACACTTGCACACAAACTAATATTATTACTTACGTACAGCATTACAGGGGCCCCAGGGCATACCCTTGACTCCGCTTGAGGATACGTGTATTGCATTTTGACATGGAGATAAAAAATAGATTGATAACTTGTACTACTTAGTAGTTACTGTTGTCAGAGTTGATGATGTAGCCCATGTGTGTGTGTGTGTGTGTGTGTGTGTGTGTGTGTGTGTGTGTGTGTGTGTGTGCACGTGTGTGTGCATGTGTGTATGCACGTGTGTGTGTGTGTGTGTGTGTGTGTGTGTGTGTGTGTGTGCACGTGTGTGTGTGTGTGTGTGCACGTGTGTGTGTGTGTGCACATGTGTGTGTGCACACTTGCGCACGTGCATGCCTGTGCACTCACTTGCATGCATGTCTGTATGTAGACGTATAAAACGTATGTGCATGTCCATGTTTATCTGACCCGTCTGTATGTGTATACATATGTGTTTGCGCGTTTGTCCACGTAGCTCGTCCGAACAAACGGCAATATGAAGACCTGGACGATAGCCGAGACACACGTGTCCCGTTACACAATGACGAGGCGTTCATGCATGGACTGTCGTTTACGGCCAAGGTAGGCTGCCACCGGTACCTGTACCAACAACCATGTGCCGTATTTTCCCGTTTATAAGTCAAAGTCCCATCCATGCTTGGGACCTCAATTACCCGGTTTAATGATAGTTAATAAGCCTCGATTGTAAGTCGACAACCCCCTTTTTAGTTCCGGTTTTCGGTCGTTAAAGGTTGACTTATTCTCGGGGAAATATGGCATATGGCCAGTATGGTGTGGTGCCAACGTTATTTATTTCCCAAGATTCCAATTTACCTATGAGTCCAGTGGATATTGTAGTATCTTGTGCGTGCTTTGTAGAAAGCCTGAAAGCCTGGCTGGTATAGAAGCTTGTACTCAATACAGTACACTTAGTTGCATGGTGTTTTGACATGTACCTTTAGTGTATTTCCTGGTACGTGTGCATGTGCATGTGCATGTCTGTGTGTGTGTGTGTATGTGTACGTATGCTGTGCAGTTCATTGGCAGTCTCGAAGTGTCCAAGCCAAGCAGCCGTGTTGAGATTGTCTCGTGCATGAGACGAATCCGAGTAAGTGTACTGCATGCATCACCATACAGCTGCTGTTACTGCTGTTGCTGCTGTTGCTGCTGTTGCTACTGTTGCTGCTGTTGCTGCTCCTGCCACCACTACTGCTATTGATGCTGTTGGCGAGGGGAGGGGGATCCAGGAAATTGGATTGGTCTGGGGAGGACTATGGGATAGCTCAGAGAAAGAGGGGGGGGGCATGGGCTTGCGTGCTTGCATGCATATTCCTGCCCTGTCAGAGTGACTGCCGAACCGATCGCAATGGATTCTAGTGACTCTGCGTATGTGTGTGTGTGTGTGTGTGTGTGTGTGTGTGTGTGTGTGTTGTATATGCACAGTATGAGTTCCGTGCCAAGAGTATGAAGAAGACCAAGGCCACGATCAATGTGTCCGTGTCCGGGGTGAAAGTCACCAAGTATGTCAAGAAGAAGAGAAAGAGGGTAAGGCCATCGTCGTGGTGTTGTTGCTCTTTAATACAGGGCTACCACTACAGGGCTACCACTTGCGCCGATTGCTGGCTATGACTCTCTTGATCTCTACACTGTAAGTCTACAAAACTTCGACGCGTATCAGTTTCGGCCGCATTAAAATTTCAGCCTGCACTAATGCTGCCTGTATACACTGTCACACTGAACAGTGCAAAACAAAATTTCGGCTCCAACACATTTTCGACCAAAAATGCCCAGGCCGAAAATAGCCGAAAATGATATGCGTCGAATATTTGGTGACTTACAGGTCGTTCCGACAAACTGACCGAAAACAATCTTGAATTTCTCATTAGGATTGCTCCCGTCTGTTGTTTCAGGCTCTTAGAATCCTAAGAATGCTTCGGCTTACAAAGGGAAGTGCTATCTGCTTACTACCCCTTGGCCCCTGTCCGGGGGAAACCCATGGACTGCTTTCAGATGTCTGCCGACGGAAAAAGTGGCAGCCCTGCTCTTGCACCTTGTCCACGCTCTGTTCCATTCATGTTGTCCACTATTTTCTATTCTGCACGGCATGAACCTGCACGGCATGAACTGTATGACCATGACGAGCTTTAAATATAGAAAAAAAGAAAAAAAGTTAGTCGCCCAATAAGGGACTCGAACCCTTGACCCTCAGATTAAAAGTCTGATGCTCTACCAACTGAGCTAACCGGGCTACATACTGTAATGGCGATATCTGACGTGTTCATACATGTATTGTATGAATTGGCAATACCGTAATTCCGCGCATATAAGCCCACTGGCCTATATCCGGATATAAGCCCACCTCCGTTTATAAGCCCATGGGCTTATAAACAGACAAATGCAACTCGCGTGTCAACAAGAATTTTTCACAATGTGGACTCTTCCTACCATGGTACAGCAGGTCAGTGCAGTTTACCAGTAGAGTATGGTAGACCCACTATGAGCACTGACTTGCACTTTTTCGTGAACCTTCAAAATTCGAGTATTGGCCCATGGGCTAAAAAAACGAACATGTTTTACTGGATATTTTATCCCCAAACTGCATTATTTCACATATAAGCCCATGTGGGCTTATATGCGCGGAACTACGGTACTGGTGCTCGAGCTTGCACTGTCCAGTGTAGTGTGCAGTGGTTGTTGGCATTCGACTGAGTTTACACAGGGGCATTTTGTGTGTTCTCAGTGCTGGTAATGAGTCATCCGTGTGCATTAAGTATGTAGCCCGGTTAGCTCAGTTGGTAGAGCATCAGACTTTTAATCTGAGGGTCAAGGGTTCGAGTCCCTTATTGGGCGACTAGCTTTTTTCCTTCTTTTTTTTAAATCGAATTGGCAGAGCATGCATGATGCCCAGACCGTGGTCATTTTGTGGCCTGTATGATGGATGACTATGACACTTCTGCACGCCTGTGATTCGGTGTCAAGTCAGCAGGAAATGTGCATCACACTGCTGCATAGTGACACGTGTGGTGACACTTGCCAGGTGTTCTTGTGTGCTGTGCGTGACAGGCTCTAGGACATAGCTTTGATTTGAACCGGATGCATTCTGTGTTGCTTTGAACATGCAATGGCATGGTGTGTGTGTGTGTGGGTACGCGTGTGTGTGCGTGTGTGTGTGCGTGTGTGTGCGTGTGTATGTGCAGCAGCGGAAGAGGACTCCCGAAGACCTTGTCGCCAATCCTCAAGTAATCCTAGAAAGTCCCATATATCGGTGAGATCCCGAGTGAATGCTCCATGTGTAGTGATTTATGCTCCTCTTGTCGGTTTGCTTAAAATAAGAGCATGTGGGCATGCGAGAGTATTCTCCGTATACAAGCCCCTGCTTTTTACAACAAACCCCGAGGTTCAAGAAGGGGGAATTTTTCCCCTGGAGAAAAGAATTCTACTTACCTCTGCATGCATGCTGCAGATGAAGTTGTGATGTATCGTAACACCTTACTCTAGTCTGGAGAACACAGTTCCTTGGAGGGAAGAACACAATAACACAGAGCAAAAGGACACACTTCAGGCTCTTCGACATCATTTTTGAATGTTTTTCTCTAGTATACTTTCAAGCCTTATCGTCACACTGGGACTTTACAACAGTGACCGGAAAATGGGCTGTTGCGATTCACCGGTGAAACACGGTATAGAAGAATTCATGCTTGCCGGCATGTGTCTGCACTGTAGAGCCTCCGTGTTTGCCTCTCAACTAGTTGTGTGTGTGTTCCATGGTGTTTGTTTGTCGTTATCGGTAGGATATTCTACGTGTCCCATGACTCGCTGGACAAGAAGATCTTCAGCTTTATTGCACGCGTGGAGGCGGCTGGCAATCGCAAGACGTTTGTCTGTGCTGTCTTCAAGGCATACAAGAAGGTAATACTGTGATTAATCTGGGCATTGCTGCTGGGCACAACACCTGGCAATATCCAGCCCAGCAGAGGACACAGTTGTGATCGGTTATCTGATGTTTTGTTGGTGGTGGCGTGTGGGTGGGTGGGGGGGGGGGAGAGGGAGGGGAGAGGGGGGAGGGCAAATTCGAAGGGGGGGGGGGGGGGGGGTTGTATTCGAGCGCGTACGGTATTTCATCTGCCTTCGAGCCTCTCACATGTTTGGTAGCAGCCCAGTGCATGTGTAATGTACGTTGTACTTTGCAAAACCGTCATTCCCAACATGTCACACATCATGTATTGTGTGTTCAATGCTCCCAGTCACAATTCCATGCTCTCCTTTCTTTCATCTTGTTGTTTTCCCTAGTCTCATGCTCTGCGTATTGTACGCACCATAGGTCAGGCGTTTGACATCTGCTGCAAGCTACAACAGTCGACGGATGCTGTGAACATCCCCGGCCTGTTGCCACCGGAGAAGCTGAAGAAACTGAAGGAGAAGAAGGACGGTGATGAGGGTACGAGTGTGGATGACACGGATGGGGAGCCGACACGCAGAGAGGTAATGGTGGAGTGGTGGTGTGGCGGATTCAGAATGGTTTGTCTTATCCATTGCATGGTGGTGATGTGAAGGAGGCATCGTGATGGTGATGTGATTGCCATCATATTGTCCTTCTACCAACTGTCGTACTTGGGTTAGCTATCCATGATATAGTGATGGGGTGATGTCATGATAGCCTGATGCATGGGTGATGTGAAGAAAGGCAATGTCAAAGTGATGTTATCGCCGTCACATTGTCCTTCTACCAACTGTCATGGATGGACCAGCCAGCTATGGCGTAGTGGTGCAAATGCCAGGGCGGCAGGTCTGATCCCAGCACTGCTGATGCTAACAGAGGCATAGTCATAGCGATGTGATCACCATCATATTGTCCTTCTGGCAAGTGTCACAAGTGAATTTATTTATTCATTTCACCTTCCGGAAGTGTTGTCTGTATCAATTCTACAGTAGTGTTGTGATAACTGTATTTTCCGGGGTATAAGCCGCACTGGAGTATAATACGCACTGGAGTATAATACGCACTGGAGTATAATACGCACTGGAGTATAATACGCACTGTCCTATCATGTTTTGCTTTTCATCATCCATACACAGAGATTGTCCACAAGTCCCGGGGACATGCTGAATAACTTCAACCTGGACATGTCAGTCGTCGAGGCTACGGAGCTGCCGCCCAACGCCATAGTGACCATGGAGGACGACTACGAGACCAATCTGCTGGAGTATCAGAAACACTTGTATGCGTTTGGACAGAGCCTGCTGCTCAACTCTGCCGATGTGCAGCAGTCAACCAACGAGGAAGCACTACTGGATGGGTAAGCTGTCACAGCTGGTGGACTGTCCACCGGCAAATTCGGATTCAGGTTGTGCGTGCTTCCCCCAGCTGCATCTCATGTGTGGCATTTAAGTGGTCTTTGTAAAAAAAATTAGAAAAATCCAGGTTCAAATTGAAATGCTGGCAACTGAAACTCGACCCCAGCTCGATGCGCTCACATCGCAAAGACCCAGCACTCGATTGTAGCACTACGAACTTCAAGTGGAGGCCACTGGAATCGGTGCTGCTGTCGTCTTGCCCGAAGGACGAACATGTACAACACTGCACTCTAGCACGAAAATCAGGGGTCGGAATTCACTTGCCACCTCTGTTGTACATGTACATGTATCTGTTTAGAATGGTGTTCACATCAGCCTTGGTCATGTGACAAGTCTGTGTAGAAAGTGATCATGGCATGTGGACAGTGGGGAACCAACTGACCATAGGGACCTTTCGCATTTGCTACGAATCGAATGCGAAACGAAAGTTTGATTCGTCTCGTAATCATTTCGTTGAAAACAGAATTCAGGTTTCGCAAGTCGTAATGCAAATCTGCATGGCAACTACGAATATGGCCGGTACCTTGGCGTACGGGTGTGTTCGCGCACACGTGCATGGATCATGGAATCAAGGGAAAAATGTGTATCTGGCAAAACATGTGTACCTTGCAAAAAAATGTGTACCTGACGGATTTGGAGCGTGCCACGAATGAAGAGGCTTTCATTCGTGAAAACGAGCTCTCCGCGGCGACTCTGACGAATCCTCGAACCCAGGTGACGAATCAGCATTCGTTTCGTATCCGTACGCGTGGTGCGAAAGGTCCCTCATGTCAGGCATTATGCGACCAATCAGTTTGCAGGGGTCGAGTGGTGTTGCTCACACTGGTCTATCAGGCTGTAAGCGAGCCAACATAGTATGTAGCCCGGTTAGCTCAGTTGGTAGAGCATCAGACTTTTAATCTGAGGGTCAAGGGTTCGAGTCCCTTATTGGGCGACCACATTTTTTGTTTTGATTTTCTTCTTCAGACCCCTGGATAGAATTATGTTTTCTACCGGTCCCATAGTTCAAGAACAGAGCCTACAGTGCATTATCTCCTTTGCCTCTGCTCCTGTCTGAATTGAGTACTTGGGTAGAGCACACCAAATGCGACGAAATCAAAAGGTCGAGATCGATGCTCTAGACTTTTTCGAATAATTCAAATTTGGTTTGAGCTTTTTGAAATTTCTTCGGAATATTGCTCAGGCACCTCACGCAATTTTTCTCATGTAAATTTCTAAGCGATTGGATAACAGACGCCCAATTTCGAAAATTTTATGCACAAAGTGATCACAGATTTTATGTGGTATAGATGCTGGCCTAACGGTTTTTTGAAACCAGAGGTCTGGACTTTTGAAACGCTCTGTAGCTTGCACTGTAGCTTGCACTGTAGCTTGCACTGTAGCTTGCACTGTAGCTTGCACTGTAGCTTGCACTGTAGCTTGCAAGTTAAATTTGACAACATGACTATAATAGCACCAGTAGCATCGGCCAGTGCTGCACGGATAGCACCACACACCTGTCCTGTCCTGTCCTGTAGAGCCACTGCCACAGGGGTCACGTGGGCCCCGGAGGGGCATCAGAGAGGAAGATGGAGCACGCAGCCTGATGACGCCGGAGATGGTGGGGCAAACGGAACCGGCGAGAACACACGCATACATGGCTGAACGAATTACGCTGCTGGGCAGTCGGGCGCGGGCCAGTCCTCGAGCACCGGTGACGACCGCGGCCTTGCACAGACCGAAAGCAGCGGGCACACACAGCACAGTGCGCAGCACAGCAGGCATCCTGCACATAGACTTGCCGGGGCTCGGGAGGCTGAGGCTGAGGTGCGGAACAGCACCACACACACACACTCGCGCACCCCCCCCCCCCCCCACACACACACATGGGTGCACACTCACGCACCCCCCCCCCCCCCCCCCCAACACACACACAAACATGGGCGCACACTCACGCACACCACCCCCCCCCCCCCCCCCCCACACACACACACGCTGTGCACTTGAACGTGACGCAACGTTACTGATGAGGTCGAACTTCACTGGCGGGGTCACTGATTTCTTCATTTGCTTCTTCAAAGTACATGTAGATAATATATTGTACATAGATGTACACGAGCACACTCATACCTCGGTTATACGGACACCGAAGTCACGAGCACACTCATACCTCGGTTATACGGACACCGAAGTCACGAGCACACTCATACCTCGGTTATACGGACACCGAAGTCACGAGCACACTCATACCTCGGTTATACGGACACCGAAGTCACAAGCACACTCATACCTCGGTTATACGGACACCGAAGTCACGAGCACACTCATACCTCGGTTATACGGACACCGAAGTCACGAGCACACTCATACCTCGGTTATACGGACACCGAAGTCACGAGCACACTCATACCTCGGTTATACGGACACCGAAGTCACGAGCACACTCATACCTCGGTTATACGGACACCGAAGTTAGTTGGGCACTTACATTGTAGCCTGTCTACCGGGCAGTGCCTTTGGGCGAGTTTCCTTTGACGTTTTGGAGAGTTTCAGTGGAAATATTACAATTCTTTTGTGGAAATAGGGACGCCGTATGCCATATCTATGGCCTTTCACCATCAAAAATGTCTGTGATTCGGAGTTGTGGACATTTCGAAGTTACGGGCAGTGCCTGGTCCCGGACTGCTTGGATAAACGAGTGTATTGCTGTTCTGTGTCTGTTGCTTCAGTTATAAGCTGAGTCCAGCACAGCGGCAGTTGATGATACTGCAGTTCAAACTCAAGCAGGAGCAAGGTCTGGCCAATGCATTCATGCCAGCTGGAAGCACACAGGTATGGTGATGATGTCACCCTGATGTAATGATGATGTCACCCTGATGTAACGATGATGTCATCATGCTGACGGTGGTCAAGCCCATGGAGTCGTAGCTACTATAGCTAGGCCTATCCGCAAAATGTAAAAAAATCACGAAAATGGAGTTCAAAATTGGAAATAAAACCTATAAGATTCGAATGAATCCTTTAAAAGTTAAACCCTTTATCGGCCGATTTATATGTATGGATAGTCAAATCCACAGCAAAAATACCAAAGGAGAAGGAAGTAGTAGCCATTCTACTGTTTCTGATAATTTACGAAACCCGTATACAATAGGAATGGATTTGCTCCCCACACTGGAGGTCGCCTAAAAACATCATCGCCGAAGTTGCAACCAACTGTTTCGTACCGTATACAATACACACGTCAAACTTATACGTGACGTGTTGTCACAGTAGCAAAAACTCTCTGAGTAAGTATGCTGTCTAGCTGGTCAGTGCTGGTGATAACCTTCATACTGTGTAGGCTCTCCTTGAAACGTATCATTTTTTCATCGGCGGACACATGGTGCTTCGGCTGCCAATACTCCTTGCATGCTGTGCGGACGCAATCGTACACATAGCAGACCTTGTAGAGACGATCTTCTGGGTCGTTTGATGGGTTGTCGACATCGAGAAAGCACAGCAAGATCTCGAAGCGGTGTTTGGTGAAGAAGGTTCTTCCCCACAGACCGTTATACAGGTTTGCTATGCTCCAGTACTGCTCATAACTACTGACGAGCACAAGGCCCATGTAAATCAGGAAGGCAATAAACCTTCTCATTTCGTCAACATTTGTCTCTTCCCAGCTTCCATCAGACTGGGCATGTGATGGCTTGGACGGAATCCACATCCAAGCATACAAGTTGGTGTGATGCACAATAGTTTGGAGGACTTTCTTCTGAAAAAATAGATTGAAGAAATCCAACTCCCTCTCAGCCTTGAGTTATTGGGGCAAGTGCAAACCAGCAGCTCTCTCTGGTTCAGACGCGAACACGGGTGGGTTGCAATCGTCTTCCTCTTCCCAAATCTTTTACTCACCACCAGCAGCCTGTGGTTCACCACCACCCCGTCCACCTCTGCCTTGCGTTGCACCTCTGCGTCGAGCTGCACCGCGATTCGCAGCGCGTGCAACACCACGAGCTGCAGCAGGTTCAACTCCGCAACCCGTGGTGCGAGCTCCTCGTCAACCATGACCATCCCGACCTGAGCCACCTCTCCCGCGACCACGACCTCGACCCCGTGACAACACACATTCTCCATCATCCTCAACAACTCCAACAGGAGAATCTTTATCTGACTCTCTTTCACTTTCAGAGGCCACCAAACTGCCGTCACTCTCGGCATCAGAAAATAATTGTCTGCCACCAAAGTCTTCTTCCTCGTCTGAAGACAAGAGGTCGTCATAATCATCATCCGACTCACTCCCTGACCAGTTGAGAAGTTCTCACGATCAAGAGCTTCAGTCGCAGAGAGCCGAGATAAAGGAGCGCCAGCCATCTTGTTTGACGTCACTTTGAATTCAAACTAATGCCGACAGAAATAAAAACCACGTACCACTGCACTAGCTACACTCGGCTGTGCAGCTAAACTCACACATTTGTACAGTGCAGTTTTCGAGTGCCTGATGACTCAGCTGCGGGTCACGTATGACTTGCATTCAAGTGCATCTCACGAATCCACGTACTTGCAAAATCACGTACTTCGAGCTCGATTGTCTCGCGTTCAATGTATACACGTCATATACTTTCTTGGTTGGATGACAAAGTGCGAAAACTCACCTTTCGAATGAGACCAACAAGATGGATACCATAGCATGTATACATCCCACTCAAACTCAGCACGGAAGTGATGGAACATCGGTGTTCGACCAATGTATGGGCCAATAAAGGGTTAAAAAATCATCTTTATAAAACTATAAAAATACAAAACACGAACCGGCCGAAAAAGGGCCACTGCCATGGCAACCAGTTGCTAATATGGCGGTTCGCGTCGGATTCAAATCTACATGGTTGTTCAACTGTTATCAGCAGGCTATCTTTGCTACATCATACGATTAATTTTGAAATTGAAGAATAACAATCCACTCTGCTCCTGACAACATGATCGTGTGTGCATAATCGGTGCACAACCTGCCTAAAATTGAAAATGCCCAAAATTGAAAAATGCAAGAATAGGCCAAAATTGAAAAAAAATTGAAAACCTTTTTCAGACAGGCCTAGTCGTAGCATCTAGAGAGACAAGATGAGCCGGATTGGAGTGTGAGAAAAAAGACGTGGAGTTCGCACCCGGGCTGCCTGTCCCTGTCACTCTTGCAACACAGGGCCAAGTCCTACCCTCAGTGTGTATGCCGCAATTGACGCCATGGCCCCTGTCTGCACTTGCTAGTGTATGGTCTCTCGATTTCCATTGCATGTTGCATGGATCTTGGATTGCGTAGAGGTCAAAAATCTCGGCTCGAAGCCTGCGTCGTTTTGGGTACAGTGATTGTGAGCTATCTCCCTAACTTTTTTTCTGTTTCAAGACAATTGTAAGCCGGTGGTAATGCGGATGTGATAACTTTGCTTTTTGTTTTAAAACTTTATCCCGTGCATGCCCAGGCGAATGTGTCCTCTAATGGTGCTGATGCTGTCCTGAGTAAGCCGTTACCCACACCACCCCCCAACCGTCTCAAGGTCGGCAGCAAGGGAAAGTTTGCAAGACCCGGGGTGAGTTATCTCCAATGATTGTATGATGATGGTATTGTTGAGGCTTGTCTTGAATCCTTTATTCTCACGATGGCCTGTGGCCAATAAGAGTAGAGTCTTGTAACCAATGTTGTACTACACCAGGCTAGACCTGTACTCGCTAGTGCGTTTTGCCGTTTCCCCGTAATCCAGCGTTATTGCTTGCTGGTTTGTTCTTGTGTGGCAGGTTGGTGTGACAGAGAACACGAATCGAGATGACTCTGCCCTGCTACCACGCGTGGCTGAAGGTCAGTTTCAACAGCGGGCATGTGCATGCGTGTGTTTTGTACACCGTAGCTCGAGAGGTGATGCAATGACGTCATCATTTGGGTGTTAACAGTAGTGAGGTGATATAATGACATCATCATTGGGTGGTGAGGTGATGCAATGACATCATCGTTTGGGTGTTAACAGTAGTGAGGTGATGCAATGACATCATCATTTTGGTTGTGTATGGAGTAGCAACACACCAGGTTCGTGAAGTATTTGCCTTGTGTAGTTAGCAACCTTCAGATGTGACGTTAGACATCCGTGATGATTTGTAGGCTTTCACTTGGCGTCTACTTTTCACCTGTCTTTGTCACCACCTCAGTACTCTTTGTGACGTGTAAACTAGCGCAACTTATTCCTGTGTACCTCTCCTTCTCATTAGAGAGGTTAAGTTACACGTTTTTGCCCTTTTTCAAAACGCGGTGCAAATCTCACGTTACGTGTAATTTTTAGAGGTTAAGTTACACGTGCGACGTGACGTGAAATTTTGCCTGGCAGGATTCGGGTTTAGTTCGCACAAATATCAAATCTTTCAACAAACTCAATAAAACTCGATAAAATTCCGGAAACTCACACAAATTCGGTCGGAATAACCAAGCAAAACTTCCAAAAACTCACGTCATGAACTTACGTGCGGGACAGTCAACTCACGTAAAACACGTCAAATTTTACGTGAGTTTTTTCACTTTTTGGCGTAAAAGTTCACGGACGTAAGACTTTTACGTGAAACTTAACCTCTCTATTGTGATTTATTTAGCACTTGTGATAGTTGTGTGTTGTAGGGTTCAGAACACCTCCATTCTGCACTATTCCTTTTGTGTTGATTTGTCGCATATGTGAGTTAGTTGAGTGTTCACACCTTGCGCCGGTATCTTCTCTGTAAAGTAGTATTATTCAGCTTAACCCCTTTCATTCAACGACTGCTTCTTCTATGAAGAGTTCCCTGTCATCTTTATAGAACGAAGCAAGACTTGCCGGGAGTAATACTACTTGCTTTCGTGGAGTGTGGCTGGTGAACTGTTCGTGCTGTGGTCTGCAAGCGTCGTGTGGTCTCGTCGGGTCAAATGAAAAACCTCTTACTACTATTTGACGGACCTATTGAAGATGGCAACAAAGAAATGTTTTGTATCAGTGGGGAACATTCAGTGGTTAGTTGACTTGTGCTGATGCAGGTATAGATGAGTGGAATGAACACCGGGATTAGAGGCATGAACTCGTGTCAAACACTCGTGTGTGAAGTCAGAGGAGTTCTCTTCTTTAGGTTCAGGCGAAACGGCAAGCGCCAGCACTGCACTGAGGCCTGCGGTGCCGGAAGTGTTACTGTTTTCGTATACACTTCATACAGGTGTGTCTAGCATTGTTAGAGCAGCTCAAACCCCGCTCACGATGTGCTGTGTTTCTTACCACAGAGGGAGCAGCAGCAGCAGCAGCGGGCAATGACAGTGTTCCTACGGATATGCTAGTTGATACGAGTATCCCTGAGGAACCCTCTAACCCAGTCAACCCATTCACATCTACTCTGCTGGAAGATGACGATCGCCCCATGCCGCAGGTAATGTTACTTCACTTGTGTATGTGTGTGCGTGTGTGTGTGTGCGTGTTTGGGCATGTGTGTGAGTGTGTGAGTGTGTGGGTGTGTCTGTGTGTCGGTCACTGTGTCCACATGCATATGCACCACTTTGCTGTGTGCTGTATGTGACCGTTGCAGGTTGTTTTTGCCTTTGCCGTGGTCTTTTGCTTCTGTACCGTGTTCACCTGGTCGGCACTGCGCCTCACGGATTTCTGATCCTTTGTCTCTCTCTCTTCTTGCTCATTCGTGAATCGTGATCGTATCCTGCCCCACTCGGGGCTCCCTGGGGACCCTATCTTGTGTGTTACTGTCAGTAGACTTCATTGTGATCGGTTTGGCCAGTAACTCCCATGCTAGCCCCATGTCGTGCACGTGCACGTGTCCCAGGTCGTCAGACTAACACACGGGTCGAGCGAGATCCCTCGTCACAAACAGTTTAGAAACACATGTCTTCGAACAAACAACAACTACCAAAACTCCATTGAAGCATCAAAATCAAAAGAGAAAAAAGAACCAAGAACGGAGAGCTGGGGACGCACGTACCCGGCCCCGTACCGGGCGCACAGCCAAGAAGGATGACACCGTAGCGTCCCCACGCTCGACTGGCAAAGAAAACAGCAAGCAAAGAAATCTGACAAGTGCGAGCGCAGTTTCAACTTCCAGCATTTTGAATGACAAGCTGCAAGCGCGAAGCGAGACACGTGACCGAAAATAATGCATGATGTCATCAGTGCACACGCGGACATATGCAAAAAGGTCAAAAGCGAGTGCTGCAAGAAACAGCACAAATAAATAATAGTTCGGATGGCGAAGAGCTAGAAAGGCAGATTCCTAATCATCGAAGAACAATACATATTGTAGAGTTCCAACGCGACTGCCGGGAGATGCTGGCACCCACCAGACGGGTGGTTGCTGCCCCTGTCAGAGAAATAGAACGGAAACTGAGGCAGAGGAGCCACGTTGCAAACGGTGAAATGCGCAAGGTAAGAATATTCAAGCGGTGTCAAATTACGACGTACTGAGTAATATATGGGTAGACAAAGACAAACACTAACAAATGGAGAACGTTCCAACAGAAGCCGTGAGTGAGAAGAGAGGTGAGAGAATGAGAGCCCTTTCCTGATCGGATCCGCAACACCCCATGTGCCTGCCGGTGAGTTGTGTATTTTGTAAAAAAAAGAAGAAAAAAACTCCGAGCTCAGCTGACGAGATGTAGCAAGGTTGAAACAGTGAGCTGTCCCATCTCATGTGTTACTGTGTGTGGTATTGCATCTTGTGTACGTGTGATGTGTGATGTGTGATGTGTGCAGACGGATGCGCAGTGGGTGGAGATGCAGAAAGCGCAGACAGCACAGCTGCAGCTGCTCAAGGATCAGTTGTCGGCGGAGACAGCATCGCGTATCGATGCACAGGTAGGGCCTTACTATACATGCCGCCGGACAGACACTGCTCAGTGCTGGTGGTGCTGCTACTGCTGCTAAAGCCTCTTGTACAGGCAAATAGAAATAGATTGAGTACTCAGTAGTAGTAATACAACAAGCCACACAAGTAAAGAGCAAGCAAAGCACGGTGTTGTTGATCCGTCTAAACAACCAGGATAGAGCATATGCAGCTATAGCCACCGTCGCCACCGTCGCTGACATGCATGTACTGCAGTGTGTGTGTGTGTGTGTGTGTGTGTGTGTGTGTGTGTGTGTGTGTGTGTGTGTGTGTGTGTCGTGATGTGTGTGTGTCGTGATGTGTGTGTGTCGTGATGTGTGTGTGTCGTGATGTATGTGTCGTGGTGTGTTTCTCGAAGTCTCCGCATGATCTAAACACGCTGTGATATCTATGCATGTCTTCCCTCATGTGCTGACAACACTAGGACTCTGCATGCTTGTATGACTACCTGTGCGACCTTCCTCATCTCTTGTTGTTGCTGCTGCTGCTGCTGCTGCTGTTGTTGTGTCTTTTCCGTACTTGGGGTGAATTCCTTGTTTTGTTGTGTATTGTGGAATTATAATAATATATAACATCCTTGTCTCAGTCCATGTGGTAATGCATACCTGATTCCTGTGCTGGTGGATGTTGTTGTTGTTGTTGTTGTTGTTGTTGTTGTTGTTGTTGTTGTTGATGTTGTTGTTGTTGTTGTTGTTGTTGTTGTTGTTGTTGTTGTTGTTGTTGTTGTTGCAGGCCAATACACATCACGTTATGCGCCAGAACAAGATTCTAGCGGCATACATCATGCACATTGGCACACAGCTGAAGCGCTACAAGGCGTCGCAGTCCGACGACCCAACAGGCGCAGCCAGTGCGGCGACCGGCGCTGGTGGCAGTCGTGTAGTCACTACCGAGGTGTTCAGTCCACCGCCTGCAACCCACAAGACAACGCTTTATGAGGTAAGACAGTAACAACGGGATATGGTCATTTGACTTCTTTTTTTAACCAAATGCGTAACATTTTCTTTTGTTCCAACACACGCAGCACAGAAGCCATCTAGTTTCGACTAGGCCTTTCGTGTCAATACTTTCCAAATCGAATACAGTGCAGTGGCGAGTAAAGTTTTTCTCTTGTCCTCTTTCTTTTTCTGCTGGTGATTCTGCTTCTGCTATCACTCCTGTTCCCGTCATCATCATCATTCTATGCTTCTGCTGCTGGTGTTGGTGGCACGGCTGATGCATTAAAACTATTTACATTGTTGTGTCATGCTTCGTGTGTGTGTGTGTGTGTGTGTGTGTGTGTGTGTGCGCGTGCATGCGTGCACGCGCGCGTGTGCGTGTGCACGTGCATGTGCGTGTATGCGTGTTTGTACGTGTGTACATGTGTATGTGTGTAATGTGCGTGCGTGAGTACAGAGGACACCGGAAGCAGACAGCACACAGCCGGCGCTAGCAGCAGCAGGAGCAGCGGATAAAACGACAGTTCCTGCTATCTCTATTGCACCGCCCGTACAGCAGCAATCAGTCAGCACCAGCTCAGCTGCATCTACAGCACCAGCATCATCAGCATCAGCGGACAAGCCCAGTGAAATGGAGATGCTCTCCGAGATCCTTGCTGCTAGTAAGATGCAGAGCTCAACCGCAGACGAAGACTTCCAGCCGCGACAGGGCGAGCAGGCAGTAGCAACAGCAGCCGTGGGTAATGGAACACAACACGGCCGCTTCTCTCCATTCTCGTTCGACCCGAACGAAGCGTCAACGAGTACTCCCTCGGGCAAGGTTCCCGAGAGCAACGGCAATGGCGGCGATGGACGGTTCTCGCCTTTCGAAGGCTTCAAAGCCAGTGCTGATACGAATGCAGTGAGTGGTGGTGGTCGTGCAGGTCACAATGTTGCACCTGGCAACGACGCGATGACGCCTAAGCCAGTAGTCCTGTTTGAGCTGCCGGAAGCGCCGACGCCTCTATCCGATCTGGATCTGGACGAAGACGAGCCGCTGTACCCGAATGACGGGCCGGCCTACGTGCCTCTGCAGGACATCACCATGGCAACGGATAGTGCTTTGTAGATCACGTTGTCGTTGCCGTGGACACCACCGCTAGTGTGGTGTGTTTGCTTTGCGCCGGTGAATCCACCATTGTTGCATGTGGGTGTGAAGTCCACTGCGGTCAGCGAGGGTCCTGAGTGTGTTCACGTGCCAAAGTCACGCGAAACAAACACAGCCACCCGAATAAGCCCGCCAGTGGTAGTCAGTCAGCTTGCGACACGACCGCCTCACTCTCTGTTTCATGTGTAAATACTAAAAAGTCGAGACATGGGTACAGTATGTGTTGTATCCAAGTCATAAGTACTCCCCCTCCCCCCGTACCTGCCCCGTTTCCTGCCCCCCCCCCCCCCCCGCCCTCCGGCCCATTCCCCTCCCAACACATGCAGGTATCCTGTAGTGCTCTTCTAGAAGAATCCTTCAGAGTCCGACGACCGCTCTACACGGTCTCAATTCCATAATTTCATATTCTACAGCTATTTGGCACACGCGTGCACGCACATGCATACACACTGGCACTGCTGGATGATGCGTGGTTTGCATTCTCGCGGAGCCCAGTACACTATTTATGGCATGCAGCAGCAGCAGCAGCCAGAGCGACGACGTGGTCAGTGTGGATTTCAGTGAGTCAACTTCATCCTTCACACTCGCTTGCTTACCTCTGTACAGAGCTTGGTCATTTTGAAACGGACTCGCTGTACTGCACTGCACGCCACTGCACAAGTACTGGTGTGTTGTGTGTGTGTGTGTGTGACACGCTGCTAGTCTGCCAGTCGCGGCACGTAGTCATTAATTGCTACGTGCCACAGCCGCCGCCGTCGATTGCACTACTCAGAGATATGCTGTGTTGCGTGAAAGTGCTGCATGCAGTTACGGCTGTGTACGCTATTATTATACAGTACATGCTTGTTCCATTACCGTGCCTTAGTACATGCCAGTGTGTAGTGTGTGTAGTGTGTGTAGTGTGTGTAGTGTGTACAGTAAGACTCAAGATATTTCGCCTAGGTATCCGTGCCCGTACATACACTGTTATCTCCCTTAGACTTGTTTCCTATGTCGATTTCATCAGGTGTGTGTGTGTGCGTGTGTGTGTGTGTGTGCGTGTGTATGTGTGTGTGTGTGTTCATTGCATGCGCCGCTCTATTCAGATTTCTGCTCGCTTTCACTACCTAAGTCCTTTCATGCCATAAACCTTAGTTGAGGATTCTGTTCTGCGCCCGTGGACGATTGTCAATTTCCCGTCCGAATGTACCTTATGGTACATGTGCTCTTTCTAGACAAGCCGCATTATTTGATGTACAGCAGTCATACATGATCATGTGATATTGCTCTGTGGATCATGTGATGATATTCATTTCCACTTCACTGCAGAGACTCCGTGACTGTGGACAGTACCACCACTCACTGGTGTTCTGGCAGTTCCTATCTCCATTTCAACAGCTTCTACCTACTTACTCTTATCCGTGTTCTCTCCCGGAGTTCGTGTTACGCCCTAGTTCTACGCTAGCTTTCTTCAGAAACTCGGTAGCTTCAAGTGCTGTACTTCTAGATATTGCAACACATTGTTGCTGTGCCTCTGATAAAGGTACTCTGGGTGGGAACAGGTGTATTGCTGCGCACACCATCTGACTAGCTGATCAAAACCACCTCCCCCTACGGTTTGCTGGAAACCGAGCCCCCCTCGCAGAACCCTCATTTTTCTGTACTGTAGTTAGGTTTATAGAGGACGATGATTGCCAACAACACACCCACCCTTGACCTGTTTCAACACTACCCCCCTTATCCCCCCCCCCCCCCATGCACCTGGCCTGTTTCAACACTACCCGGTACCCCCTTATCCCCCCCCCCCCCATGCACCTGGCCAGTTTCAACACTACCCGCCCTTATCCCCCCCCCCTCCCTATGCACCTGACCTGTTTCAACACTGCCCCTCCCCATCTGACCAATTTCAACACTGCCCCCCCCCCCCCCTACTTTCCACCTGAGCTGTTTCAACATTACCACCACCATTTGCGACAAACAAACACCCACCACCCACCCACCGGACACAACAAAGCAGGAAGACTTAGTATGCTCCGACATTATGGTTTTGAATCTTTGTATTTTAAATTAGATTTTGAGACTCCTAGCTCGTAAGCAAATCGAGGAATGTTGTAACTAGGCAGGCAGCCATGAGGAGTGGCATCACTAGGCAGCCATGAGGAGTGGCATCACTAGGCAGCCATGAGGAGTGGCATCACTAGGCAGCCATGAGGAGTGGCATCACTAGGCAGCCATGAGGAGTGGCATCACTAGGCAGCCATGAGGAGTGGCATCACTAGGCAGCCATGAGGAGTGGCATCACTAGGCAGCCATGAGGAGTGGCATCACTAGGCAGCCATGAGGAGTGGCATCACTGTATGTGTGCTCATACTGCTGTCCATAGGGAAAAGAGCAAGAAATAATAAGGAGCAAAGACAACGAAGAAAGCACGGCCTGTGTTTCTCTGCCCTCTGTTCTAACGACGCGTGCCGTAAGAGCTGACGAAGAATAAGACGCGGGACCTAACTGGAGATGGAAGTGAGGCGCCATTCGCTAGGGTGCGCGTTTCCGCAGAATAGCTCGTACAACTAGAGGAATAATGCGTGTGTGTGTGTGTGTGTGTGTGGAGGGGGGGGGGGGGACCTACTTCTACATAACTACAGACAAAGAGCACAAAGAGCGGAAAAAAAATTAAACCGGAGCCTGAAGAGCACAATGCCGGGCAGACAAACAGCACGAGCACTAACTAACAATGTGGGCAAGGACACACCACAACTACAACTGCATACACGTGATAAAAACAACAAACCAAGCAACTGTGTGTGTGGCAAGTAAAAACGGGCGACAGAAAAGAGGAATTGCCTGCGCCTCGAACGGCACAGCAGAACGGAACGGCACAGCAGAACGGAACGGCACAGCAGAATGGAACGGCACAGCAGAATAATAATATTCCTGAAATAGGAGGAAAGGCTCTTCTCGGTAGGTGGATCATAAATAACTGAGCGGCCGGAATAAATCGAGCATTTTGGTTATGGATCTCAAGAAGACGGTCGGCATGGATACAGGGGCTGCGTGATGTGAAGTAATAATGCGGCGGAACGGGCAGAAAGGGAGTATGTGTTGCTTGATGTTGCCGTCGGAAGCAAGTGTCAAAAGACGAAAGGAACGCGGAGAGCCTGTGAGCTGTGTGTGAGTGTGGATAGAAACACAAAACTAGATAGTGTAGTGCAGTGCCAGGCAGGCACACCTGGCCATAAATAATAGTGACTCACTTGCCGGCTACGCTTCACCGGGCTGGAGATCGCCGCTGTGGTGGGCAGCGATGAATGTGATGGGCAGCCACACACACACACACACACACACACACACACACACACACACACACACACACACACACACACACACACACACACACACACACACACACACACACACACACACACACACACACACACACACACACACACACACACACACACACACACACACACACACACACACACACACACACACACACACACACACACACACACACACACACACACACACACACACACACACACACACACACACACACACACACACACACACACACACACACACACACACACACACACACACACACACACACACACACACACACACACACACACACACACACACACACACACACACACACACACACACACACACACACACACACACACACACACACACACACACACACACACACACACACACACACACACACACACACACACACACACACACACACACACACACACACACACACACACACACACACACACACACACACACACACACACACACACACACACACACACACACACACACACACACACACACACACACACACACACACACACACACACACACACACACACACACACACACACACACACACACACACACACACACGGTTGCACGAAGCTATACACCAACTCGGTGATGGTCAAGTCCCGTGCAACGGGGCGCGAGTGTGGCTGCTGCAGCTGCTGCTGCAATGGATAGGAAGCTGGTACACAGCATGGTGCGGTGAGGGTGCGGGGGACAGGCGGAGGAGGAGGAGGAGGAGCGGGGGGCGTGCAAGTATGTTACATTGTTAGTCGTCACTGTTCATCACCGTCACTGGGTGCTGCTGCCAGTGCTGGTATTGTCAAGTGGCAGAAAAGAGACAAATCGGTTAAAGACGCCATCAAGTTAGGTAGCAGTGTTCAATCAAGTGGTGCGCGATGGACGGGGACGAGGGGAAGGGGTCGGAAATCCGAATCATGATAAATCAGTCGACTTGCAAACACGTAGACAGCCGTGCTGCTTATAGAAGATAGCATACAGTCCATGTAGACTGACTCACTGCAGAGCTGATAGACACATGGTCTGTAGACTCACTGCAGAGCTGGTAGTAGACTCACAGTCTATAGACTGTCAGTGTAGAGCTGGTAGATAGTAGCCACAGTGTCAGTAACTGCTATCACACGCGCTGCTCTGCTAGCACAGAGAGAGTAGAGTTATTCACAAGATGGCGGAGCAGAGACAGAGCAGAGACGGAGCAGAGACAGAGCTGCGGCTGCGTGACCACACTATTACTAGGCAGTACACAGTGGCTCGTTGAAATCTATCAGCAAGTGAGCTGGTTCAGGCTGTACGTACAAACACACAAACACACGTGGAGCATGGAGTACACATGCACATGCACGTGGACACACGCGGACACACACAGAAAGACAAGTAGGGTTACATAAGCATGATTGAACACTGAGAACATACAGTTGAGTTGTACACAGGATGATGACTTGTGAAAGTTAACGTGTGCATGCATACACAGAACAATACCACTACACGGAATCCAATACAATGTACATGATTGTACTTACTACTACCAAGAGTACATAAACAAGAGTGTGCAATGCCACATAGATGTCTGTCACGACTCGTTTTCAACATTACGTCATTTTCATGTAGCTGCGCGTGCAGGCCGCGACATTCGCTACATGAAAATGACGTAATGTTGAAAACGAGTCGTGACAAGACCCTATCGCGCGTTGCACACTCTGGGGGTTATGGACTCTTGCTACTAGTACTACAATCTACAGCACAGAGCCTAGCTCACCACATGACATCACAGCACGACATCACATGGTGACATCATAGCATGACATCACTACATGACATCACAGCATGGCACCACTACATGACATCACAAGGACCTGACTTAGCAGCACAGTGCCTACCTCAGTATGTTGGCCAGACTTTGCTATGGTATCGCTGATAACACTCAGCCACGAGTTTCTCTCCTCCTCCGTTTGAAATTTCAACACCACTGCGAGTTCTGAGCACACACACAACACCAACAAGACAGAAACAAAACAACGGTTACAATATCCATTGGACGTACAATATCCTGGGTACTGATCCAATGCTTTAACCTGCCCCCCACCCCGCCTTTGGGCAGGGACCACGAAAAACGAAAGGGCTGTAAAAGTGGAAAAAAGGCAGAAAAGTGAAATCACACTTAGCTGTGTGCACATACTAAGTGTAAGCACTGCTTAGCAGATGTTCAGCATGGACAATAGCATGGGCAATGCTGTGACAAGTAGCAGTAGCAGTAGCAGTAGCAGCAGCAGCAGCAGCAGCATTGTGACCTTGCATTGAGAAAGACATTGTCCGGAGCACGGGTGTAGTGATTCATGCCGGAGTATAAAAGGTCCACTGGATACTAAGTACACGTTCCTATTGCCCATCATGGGGGTACGTCTAATCAAGAGTTCTTCTACTTCAAATGAGACCAGAGCAAGCCAGCAGCAGCAGCAGCAGCGTTGCTTTATTGCATAGAGGAAAGGCAGAGGAATGGCAGTAGTAGCTTTCTTACCTAGTGGTCGAGCTATGCAGATGGTGCGTGCTTTGTCGCAGGATATGTTTGCATCACTGTCCAGATCGATGATGTGAAACGGTTCACTGGACGTCTATAGAACGATAAACGCATGCACACACACACACACACGGACAGACACACAAGATGTTCAGCTACGCGCATAATTTTCTTCCTGAATGTCCTGCAAGAACAATCAACAACCCCTTCCCTTCCCCCCTTTCCCCTCTCACTCCCTCAAGACCGAAAGAAAGAGATTCATATATGGAACTGCCCTATTAAAATATGAATAAATAATAATAATAATATTGAGGTATGAACTGAGAAAGTAGCAGCCAAGCGAGTGGGTATCAGAACTTACCGTGGTATTGCGACGTTCTTTGCGTTTACTTGCACGAGTACTGGAAACGGGGAAGAAGGCGAGCGCATTGCCACACACACGTGCCGACGTGGTCTTCCATGGACGTATCTACAAGTACATGTATGTCAATGACACATAGGAATATGCACACATGTACACACACATGCATACACACACATACACACACGGACACACACACACACACAGACACACACGGACACACACACACACGGACACACACACACACACACACACACGTTGTGAGGACGAGGATATCGCTGCCGGATGATTGCACAACGACGCTCACACAAAAGAAAAAGTACTTCGAAGCAGAATAAGCTCTAATCCTCACTCTGTGTGCCACAAAACCCGTATGTACTTTAGAAAGTAGTGGACTGTACAACAGGGACACAATACTCTAGCAACACATTGCAAGAAAAAATACACAAGAGTAGATTTTGAAGTAACGCAGACAACTTACAAATCCCCCTGCCCCGCTCTTCAGTGATCCCGTTTGTCTTGCTCGGAACGTGGTCGGAGACAAAGGCTCGAGATCACGCTTTGACTGTACCTTGCGAATTTGAACATTACCTATACACATGTGAAGAGAGAGGGAGAAGCAGCAAAACAGAGCAGGCAAGGGCAGAATTAAGATGGGCATGTACTAAACTGGCTTCAGACAAGCAGTCTGACACGCAGGCACATACCGGTATAGGCATGCACAAAACCAATGCCTATGCTTGGACAGACAGACATACAAACAGACAGACAGAGATAAACACAAACACACACACACACACACACACACACACACACACACACACACACACTTACCAATAATGAGCGGATAGTCCCAGTTACAGTTTGAGCGAAGAGAATCCATAGAGTCACTGTAATCATCACTATCACTGTCAACAGAAACACATTCAGAACAACAGAAACACATGATGAAACAAAACAACACACGAAACAAAACAACACAACGACCACAGATGATATACCCAAAGCCTAAGGGGAGCAGCAGAGAAATTCATCTGTTGACGTCAATTAAGCCGCTGCAGTCTACAGCCCAGCCAAAAAAAGCGACGGAGCGAGTCAGTGTCCTGCAACCAGGTGTTGTGCAGTACAAAGCCTACGTGCACTGGGCTGTGCACTGGTGCAAGGCGCTGGTTTATTCATTGGGATTTCAGTAAGCATGACTACACGGTAATGGTGTATAGGTACAATGAGAACGACTAGACTTCAAGTACACTGCTGTGACCCCCCCCCCCCCCACACACACACACACACACACACACACACACAGACGGACAGACAGATACACACACACACACACACAAACACACAGAGCACCTACCACAACTCATTGCTGAGCAAATTCTCGCTGTCATCATCAGACTCCTCACAGCGCACTGCAACACCAACGACATTCGTCTCCTCCACACTCGTAATATCTAAATACACACACACACACACGTCCGCGCGTATACACAAAATACTAATGTTAACACACACACTTACTTACACAAGTACAAGCCAACAATAATACAAAATGCAAAAATGACCAATGGTCTGCGCATGCTCTTCACAAGAAAAATATCCGTACAGGAGAATAAATACATGAATGCAGCCCGATATGACCATACAACTACCCTACTACCTAGACAGTGGAGCAGCATTGTATGATATCATCTCCCACAGAGCACTGAGGCACATAGCATGACATCATCACAACACAAACACGACATCATTATGACACAAGCAATGACATCCTACCTCCAGCACTGCCGTTACTAGAGCTGCAGGTGATGGTGCCCTCAGAGCCGACAGACAGCGTAGAGGACATCAGACTACCGTCGATCAGGTGACGTGGACCGCAAGCTGCCTCCGGAGCAATCACACTCAGCGAGAAGAGGAAGTCTTGCCGATCACAGTTACTGCGCGATCGGCGATGCCCCTGCAGCATTGAAGGTTGCTCCAGAGATAGACTGCGTGATAGCGAGAGAGAACCGGCATTGTCACGTGCAGAGGCACGGGACAAGACGGCCGAACGCGTGCCCAGTACGCCACCTGCTGTATGTACACAGCGTTACATTCATACACACATACGCACACATGTACACACAAGTACACACAAGTACACACACACAGGCGCGCGCGCACACACACACACACACACACAACCATGCACACAGGTTACAAGCAAGTACGAGTGACTCCAGCAACACCACATTGCAGAGGAAAGCAAGCGCAGGTATGGATGAAGCATGTACTACCACAGGAGTATAGGATAAGGACTAAGGGGCCTATTATATGTGCAACTCCAGCCAGGGCTGGAGCTAGCGGGCCCGCCCGCCCAGAGTGTTTACATGTGCACGGCCGGGCTGGTCGCCAGCCTGCAGTGAGTTTATATGCGCTGAGCACACGCCAGCCTGCAGTGAGTTTATATGCGCTGAGCACACGCCAGCCTGCAGTGAGTTTATATGCGCTGAACACACGCCAGCCCGCAGTGAGTTTATATGCGCTGAGCACACGCCAGCCCGTTGTGAGTATGCAATGAACACACTACGACTGTAGTGTGCTGCCCTGGGCTGAAACGCAGGGCTGCAAGCCATACTCATGTTATAAACCTAAGAACTTTTTTTTCTCACACAATGTATTCTTCTGCTGATTTCTTTTCGCGCTATGTGGCACGTGCTTGGTGTGTTGTATCACCTCGTTTCTTTTTCCTGTTTTTCACATTTTACTTGTCCATATCAAAGTGTTTTGCAAGTAGGTCCCCTTCAATTGTAAATACAATCATGCATGTCGACAAATAAACAGTGCTCACAGCACGTCCTTCTTGTTGCCGTACAAAAAGCTTCATAGATTTTCAAGACAATATCGGGAATCCTCTTTATAACTTCCCTCAAAAGGTAAAAGTACCTATTTTGTAGTATGAACACAGTGTCGACCCCATAATAATACAACTCTGGCCCGGGCTGGTCTGTTTATGTGCTTTTTCTGGCCCGCCTAGCCGGGATCCCGGGTGCCTTGAGGCGGGATCCCGCCTCGCCGGGCCAGCCCGCTTGCCATGTAAACGCACTACAGGTTTGGTGTGGATTTGTGTACAACCCCGAGATCCCGTTGCAGGCGGGCTGGCCCGCCTGTCGAGCCAAAATCGCAAGTCGACCGCCACTGTACATATACATGTACATGCATGCGATTTTCATCGCCCAGCATAGCAGGCTGCGTTCATTTCAGAGGGAGGAGAGGGGGTCCGAGTACGAAATGACGATGTTCGTTTTCGGGACAACTAAAAAAACTTTTGCAACGACCCGTTAGGGTGTGTATGAGTGTGAAGATGCTCTGCTTACGCTTAGCCACTGGGACCGGCGAGGACTCAGACGATGGACCAGTACATGATGCCGATGTCAGTGAAGAGTTACTGGTGCTAGTACTGGCAACTGTACTACTGGCTGTGGTACAGGGCCGTGGCTGAACAAACGGAGGCTCCAGGGCTAACGACATTCTACAGCAATAAACAAACAACACATCACCGAGTAAGAACACACACAGGAGAGGAGGTGAGGATCTATCTGTAATAGAGGGTGAATGAGTGTGTGTGTGTGTGTGTGTGTGCGCGTGCGTGTGAGAGAGAGAGAAAGCGGGAGAGAGAAGGACAGCTTACTTATAGTGCTGGTCCTCCTCGAATATCTGCATCTCGTCCAGATAGCGGTGCGACTGAATGTAATCGCGTACACCAGAGTTATCCTCCAGCTCCTCGTAACTAGACATCTGCAGCACGCAGATGTTGTCTATGAGTGCCTGCATGCGCTCCTTGCTGGTGTGGGCCATGGTTGGATCAGCGCCTTGCCGTGCCGTGTTCAGGAAGAGCAAGTCGGTCAGGTACATGCCCAGGAAAGGGATGCAAGGTCGAGCGGCGGTCTCCATGTACGCCCGGAGAGCAGCCTTGTTGTTATCCTCTGACAGCAGGTTACTGAGGCGTGTGTAGGTGGCCTGGTCCTTCTTGCTGAGTAGGTCCCAGGTCTGCGAGAGACGGAACACGGGCTGGCTGGATAGCGCCGACATGACTGCCTTCAAACTGTTGATATTGTTCAGTTCAAGCAATGCCTGCCAACACAAACCACAACATGCCGCAACAAACACAGAACCAGCAGAGGTTGAGCTACCAGAATAAGATGAATGCAACCAGATTTATCTCATCACTGTTGCCTGATGATCGGCTCATGCGTGAAGCTTGGGGTTTCAACGAATTTTTCATCCTCCCCTACTTGTTGCAAGATGAAAGCAAGCGGCCACAACCAACACCATGAGCAGTAAAATGAAGGTAAGTTGATGCAGGCAGCTCCAGCTGTGCCCGGCAAGACATGCATGTGTGAGCTGTAAGTACTTTGAAGAACAAGTAGACCGAGCACCGTGGGTCATCAGTACAGTGTGCTGGGACTAAAGCATGATTCACAGCTCATTTCGCGTACGGCAAACGTGCCAAGCAAGCAAGTTTGAGGGAAACTCCTGGTAAACTCTGAGTATTGGTAGTACTTACATCTGCTAGGTGGATGATGTGAGTGAGGCGCTCACACCGTGCCTTCACCTCGGCCACCTTGAGGATCTCACGCACCAACCAATAACATACCTAAACACATACACATGTACACGCACACACACACACATGCACGTACACAAACGTACACACACACACACACACACACACATAATGTACACATGAGTTTAGCATGCAGCAACAGTAACGCTATCAACATAGACAGATCGGCATGAGCTACCACCACCTGAGAGAGGAACAAGCAGACACAAAGACATGCTGTGACATCTCAAACTCCCAGACCTACCTGGTTGAATTGTGCGATGAACGCCACGATTCGCGGCGACACATTTTGCTTCAGCTTGCAGTTCCAATCACATGCTTGCAGCTCCTGTAAACAAACAGAACACAGAACATAGTGGTCATGTGTGCATTCTTCCAGTTGCCACAACTTAGAAGAACATACTTCTGGTTCTTGAACAACATTTCGACAAGTTTTCACGAGTGTGCTATCAAGCCTACTCGTCAGGTGATAATAGAAGTGTTATAGCATTCTTATCTGCGAGGAAATGGTCAAAACTAAGAGAGGCATCCGCCATCATGAATATGGTAGGGCCTGGTTCATTGCAGCAGCAGCAGCAGCGACCTACCTTGCGTGGAATGGCCTGGAACAGTGGCAGGTCTAGCAGAGTTATCTGAGCCTGTAGCAACACACCACACAGCATGCACAACACACAGAGAATAGTCATCAGAGTCTGCAGTGTGTGTAGGAGAGTGGCAGCCAACATGAGACAGATGAGAGTAGAGCAAGATCTGCTTGAAATAATATACGGCACCTCAAGCACATTGCAGACACACCATCATGCCAGTGCACCCAGGTAAGTTATGAATAGTACACAAAGCAAGCATTCATCAACAACATTGGACAACAAGTGCTGAATTCTCTCTCTCTCTCTCTCTCTCTCTCTCTCTCTCTCTCTCTCTCTCTCTCTCTCTCTCTCTCTCTCTCTCTCTCTCCCCCCCCCCCCTCCTTCTCTCCCTGGCTTACAGCAAGAACAGTGGGCGGTATGCAGAGAAGGTTGTGATCGAACAGCGACGAAGGCATGCTGAATCGGCGACTGTCGATACGACATGACTTGCGCTGGGACGATCGTCCCTTCCTCTGAATAACATCGCTCCGTATTGGCAGCTGTACAGGTCAAAACAACAACAACAACAACACAAACCAAAGCAAACATTGGCAAGGAATTGATAGCAGAGAGACACTGGGTATTCATCATCACATTCAAGTAGACACACCACTGGTTGTGTTTTTCAACGCAATTGTATAGCCGGTGGTAACGCGGACGTGCAAACTTTACTTTACTTTACACCACTAATGCAACATTACCATTACATCGTTGCGTGGCCAACATGACATCATCAACTCATCACAGTGCCAACACGACGTCATCACAACCACACCAATGAGTACAGCTAAGTACTGTACACTGTACACTGACTATACAAATATTGACAAACCCAGTCAGTTACCGTCATGGCCAAGACCATGCATGGTATATACTATAGTACACCAGACAGTCTACAGATATGCACCAATCAATCACGCATAGAATACATCATATGCAGGTATATAGCAGCACGGAGCATTCCAATGCACGATTCATCACCAGCGTGTAGAGAGTGTAGAGTATGACCCAGCTCATTTGTGAATCTCTACACAGGTGTGTCATGTGTTCATGTATAGACACCAATAAAGTGGTCCAGAAAGAGGAATGTAATCAGCCAGGAATGCCACAACAGGACCATCACCATTTTAGCAAGCCAACCTACTCCAAAATTGCCACAATGGCCACTACTAATCATTGCAGATGAAGAGGCACTCAACGCCCAGTCAAGTTATCCCAGCAAGGACATACAGAATTAGCACACATCCCCCCAACACTCAGACTGTACTAGAGTCTGCAGAGAAGAATCCTATGAGCACGATTAGAAAACGTGACACTGCTTCAGTTCCAATACATCACACAGACACACATACGTGACATAGACACAAGATCAACAGCCTCATTATAGGTATGAAGTTAGTGGAATTATTGGCAATTATCCCCTAGAAGTACATCTTGCATGTGCCACAATGCACTGTTCCATTTCTATTTGCCATGGCGACCCCCCCCCCCCCCCCCCCGAAGTCCAAATAACTGGCAAGGCAGGGTTCCTTTTTCTCTTTCTACGAGTCTCGTCATTATGTTCTGTTGCCCGTACAATACTAGCACGTCACGTTTTTTTTAAAAAGAAAAAGAAAAAGAAACAATGCACTGTCCACATGCTACACACTACAGTACAGTGTGATGGTGGTGGTGCTCAGTGGTTGAGCTCAGGAGTCCAGCAACACAACAAAAAAATACCACGCCACAGCCAGCTGGTATGATGAACCCTTCAGCACCTGCCTACAGTGGTCTGGGACTCTTACAGTCTTAGTGCAAAGCAGCCACAGCTACATGTACATGTACAAGTAGTGCAATAGAAGGCGGCAAGGTGGCAGGCCAACACAGCGTTGCTTTGAGTACAGCTATGGGACCTTCACCGAACACCAGTGCATGTACTGAAAAAGTGAGAACAAGCTACTATGAGCAGCTACTGACAATGGACACACATACACACACAGATAACCAGGAGATGCAGAGGGCATGTCCGGAAAGTTCAAAGGAGCAGCTGTGACCCTGCTACCATGAATAAGGTGGAGAGAGGACATTCCTCATTGGACTGATGGCAACTGCAGCATGCACACACACACAACCCTGGAACACTCCCAACATACCACTTCTAGGACATCTAGGAATGTACCATGAATAGCAGCAGCAGAAGCAAGGATTGCCACAGCACTGATGAGGTGATGAGACACCGACAAAGCTGACCAATACATCCCAAAAGAAGTTATCAACCATACAATCATCATCATCACCATCGAGTAATTGACGAATCTAAGCAGCAAGAATGGACTCTACAATGCCACACACTTGTCAGCAGGAGCCAAGAAGCACCTACATATCTTGATGGGCACGAAATTACAATTCAACAACTGCACGAATACTACATTCTGGTATCAGAGCTACATTCCAACTCCCTATTGCATAACACAAGTGCTAAAGTACTAACAAGTCTGGCATTCTAACATTCTAAGTTTTACAATACAGATACACACCGTAGCTTACGCATTGTGCAATCCTGTTTCGCATGTCAGGATTTCAACTACTAGAAAGTGGTGTCTGAATTGATTTCTGCTCTTCAATAAAGATAAATTGTTCATCATCTCAATGAAAAAGTCACTTCATGTTCAGTATCAGAAGGCGTTTTATTCGCGGACACAGCACCGATCACGGGCTGGTTTGTACATTGCGCAATCCTCCTTGTCTGCCTATTCAGAATTGCAACGCTCTATCGATAAAAGTACTATTTACTATTATCGATCTGCATGTATGGAGCATAACCATGAATTCACACGGCATGGGAATTCACAACCCAAGGATCTGACACACTGTATTCACATCTCCACATCCAGCATACTAGCATTCACCGCCCTACAATGATGTAGACTCACTGCCCCACAGGGTGACTTCACTTCTTTCCCAGAAATTTGCAATCTCACACAAATTACAGCCTCTACACCAAACATGATAGCTTTATCACTATACTACCCAGACTTAACAATTAATTGCACATCATGCTCAGTGTCATGCTAACTGATGGTAAGTTCTAGAAGATAGGAATGCTAGCCTGTGCTATGGTGTCTGGTGTGTCAAGAGCTGGAGAGCTAGCTAGAGAGGGGACAAACACCAGCAGTATAATACTACAAGTGTTAGACACCAAGGTACACATGTACAATGTACAATGTAGTGTGATGTATAGCTGTACATGTACAGTACAATACAGTACAATGCAGTATGATGTATAGCTGCTGTACAGTACTGGCAAACAAAATAACTACCGGACAGGAGTGGTGAAGACGACGTGACATGATCAGATTACTGTACTCTGCGCCCAGCACTTGGTGACATAAGGGTCTTGAGACAAGTGCCTACCACTTGTCTCGGCAAAGTGGCTCCCAAAGACAACACAAGTACGTCAAGACACCATCACCATCACCAGCACCCTCGTACCACACTGGCGGTACCACACTGGCATGGCAAACCTGAAGAGAGCGACTCTAGTGCCACCCTGCGTTGCAAACAGGAAAAACATTATTGTAAGTAGTGGAGACATCACGACCATGTTGAAGGGCTTGAGCGAAAGGAATGTGAAGTCTGAAGTGCTGCCACCGAGAATACCTCCAGCAGTGACACAGTACAAGGTGATACAACCAACACCAACGTCAAGACTTCGGTGAAAAGGACACACCACCTTTTCACCACTATCGGTAATCTGCAACATTGCCATTGGCATCCCACACACCATGGGTACTGGTAGGTTGTTGCTGTCCACAACTGCTCCAAGTACACACATATACACCGGGTCTAAGACAGGTTCCAGAGCTCCAGTCGTCCAGGCGAATACACTAGGCATGCAGATACAGATCATCCATGATGCACGGCTGGCTGGCTGGCTGGTTGACTGGTTGACTGACTGGCTGGCTGGTTGACTGACTGACTGACTTGGCTCACTGACAGGCTCACTCCCAGCTGGCGGCAGGAATGTAGGCAAACACGCTACTTTACCATTACAGCAAGCAGAAAACCATGCATGGTGTTACAACAGCACAATACCAAGTAATTTCTTGATGATACGATGATCGTAACTATCAGCATGGTGACTAAGACTGAGTTCTTCTTCCACCAAACAGACCGGGACGAGAAACTCATGCCGTTGTCAGGAGTGCGGTGACTTCCTGCGGAATAGAACGCTCACTTGCGAGGAAAAAGTCGACGGAATTCACACCGGGTGTCCGTAGGGAGGGAGAGGATGCCATGAGTGTAGCTATCAGCGCCGCTAAGAACAAGCTCACGGATTTCCGCCGTGTGTTGTAGCCACTTCTGCGGGTCACACCATCCCCGCTGGCAATGTAGCCATACAGCCGACCAGCACAACTACATGAATGTCCGCGTGGAAAACTGAAAACCAGTACCACACTTCACAGTAAATAGTTTTGTAGTACATGTAGACAAGAAAGATCTTCTCCGCTGAGCCTTCACATAAGGGCACATACAGTATGTAGCATGTCCGCACGGCATGCATGATTAGCAGAACATCACTATTGTACATCACACACACCCATATCTACACGATACAACTACGCTAGTACAGACAGACAGTCTTTACATGCTACGGCCTGGTCTACTGACACTGTGTGATCGACAGGATGAGGGATGTGCTGAAGACAAGGAAGCAGTCGACGCACACCCAGCATGTGTGCTTAGCCGTGGTTGGCTATAAAAACCCTGCAGTCGCCACGCAAAGTGGTCATTGGCTGCCCCAGCCATGTATGGCCTTGAGATAAAACTCAACTAAAACGAAACTAAAATATACCGTGTTCTCTGACCGGTGTCTTTAGCATGATTCATGTCTGGATTTTACATACGCTCTACAACACAATGGTCACAGCACACGACCCACAGCAGAGGAATTGCAGTGAGTGTATGGTACACACTGCACGACTGGCTCACACTGACCGACAGGCAGCTTCTCAAAAACAACACCAAGCAAAGCAGCTACACCGTACATCCGCGCTACATGGTCCGCAATGCCTGACTTGGCAAGGACAGGAACAAGATGATTGCTGACGGTCACTCAGCAGAGTTCATCACACTCTTCTCCTTCCTGTGCACCACACTGCAGTACGCTAACTAGAAATGAACAAGCAACAAGCAGATGTCCGCTTCCACCACCTGCTGGTGAGATCTCCATTTGGCCAGTCAACTGGAATAGATCATGCCTGCAGAGACCCCCCTGCTTCAAACCAGAAGCGCTGGAAAACTCCTACAAGGTAAAAAGACATGCCTCATCATGACAGCAGTACTGGTGCCTTAAACTTCTAGTGGCTGCCATAATTTTCGTGGCTGAAGCATATCAACGAGTGATAGTGTTGGGCTTCAATGAGTATGATGCCAGGCTGCTGTGAAAGATACTAACCATGTACAAACTGCGAACCCCCAACTTGAACAGAAGCAAGCTGCATATTCTGGCTTGACTCCAAGCAGTGACAACTGCTGAGGTCTGGCACGACGACGGACATTACACCACAACCTGACTTCCACTATCGAAGCAAATGAGAACCACACGGGCGCTCACGGAGATTTCCTACAGTGTTGCTGCAAAGAGCCAGGGCGCGTATGCACTCACAAAAGCACCATGACCCGGCTCCAGAGGAAGCCTCTAATAACAAATTACAACGCAATGCCACACTCTCACTCAATTAGGCTCCAGTTCTACTAGAACAGAAGACCGCAGGAGCACTACCCCCTGACAGACTACTGTACAACCCATACATCAGTCACCACAAGACGTAGGTAAACACTGCATTGCGCAGATGGACACCACACAACCACAATCACTCTTATTTACACACATACCCATACAAGCTTTAGAATTACTAACTTCACAATCATCAAGAAAAGCCTTTTAACTCGCTAGATCTCGGAGACTCCACATGCCACCATAGCCCAGTCATCCTTGTGTAAACAATGTCAGACACAGGTAACCTATACGGAGGGTGAGCAGGTGGGGAGGTTGGGCTAGATCACAGTTACGACTGCAAGTACATGTCCAGAACTGACTACAGGGTACCTTCATCATGACCTTTACCTCCAGCTCAACAGCAACACTCAACTAAACACACACTCTACCAGTAGAGCATGCTACTGGGTACAAGCCACAATCTCACACTGAAGTATACCTGCTCAACTATACAACACCAAACACACACTCCATCTCGAAACAGTCAACATACATGATGGCACAGCTCTTCCACACCAAAAGACAGCACAGCAGAGGTAATCGAAAGAGTATAGGTAACACACTCGGGGTGTGACTACAGCCAACCTAAATCCCACAGAACACACCGTAAGGTAGGGTAGTTGCGGTGGATAGTAAAACACATGATCATACTGTACTTACACTGCTGTTACCAGTCTGCAATGATGGTCCCATACTATCCAACACTGGTCAGCCTTGTCTTTCTTTCTCTCTCTCCTCTCTCTCTCTCTCCTCTCTGAACCTAGTATCCAGGATTCAGCTGTCTGCCTCCTGTCCACTGACTGCACTGATCTCAGCTAGGTCTCTCCGTGAAGCACTACTCTCTCAGCAAGAGACTAGGGAAGAGCTACATCCATAAAACTACTGCAGCATGAAATGCTAACTCCTGGTAGACCAAAGGTCCTTCAACTTCAAGCTCTTGCCAGGCAGGTGGTGACCTCACACTAAACAAGCTGCTGCAAGCAACTTGCCAAGCTACACTCTCTCAGTGAATGGTGTCCTGTCTTGCTTTCACAGCAAGCACATTCGGCAGTGGAGACACTCACAGTGCTGCTATAACTCCACACGGCTACAGAAACAGAGGCCCAACTACTGCAGCTATTCACTCACTCTCTTGCTCTGTCCAATAATTATAAAAATGTTCTCAACTTCAGACTTGCAATCCTACTCTGGCCTGTAATACCCTATGAGTATGAGAGAGGTAAAAACAGCTGCTACCAAGTGTCACAAAGATTGTCTAAGCTCACTACAGTATCTTGGAGACCAAGCAAAGAGACTAGCTGTGTGCTCCTGTTCCGCACCACAGCAAAGAATTTAGTACTGAGCTAGGCTAGAATAGAGAGAGAGCTCTTGAAAACCTTGACACTGTGGCTGATGCGCACACACATACACACACCGAATTGAGCTGGTTGATCAGCGGAGTGTATACAGAATGAAACGCAGCAGCACATCCACGTCACTCTATTCCAGTCAAGTGCAGACTCAGCACAGTCACAGTGCCAGTCAATCACTCCACACTCTCTCAACACTCCAGTCACCACTCTCCGGTGCATTCTCCCGCCTAGCGAGTACAAACAGGCCGCATGACATCTACACCATACACAATACACCATACATCATTATATGCAGGCTCCACTGACCACTAGTGCACTGGACTCTAGAGCCCGGGCGCAGTCCACTAGAGGCACAGCCGGGGTCACAGCATAGGCACAAGGAGTGCTAGTACGTGTACACCATACACCATACATACGTATATGCAGGCTCCACTAGCCACTGGACTCTAGAGGCACAGTCCACTAGAGGCACAGCTGGGGTCACAGTACAGACACACCTAGTGTTAGTTCATGTTCATGCACAGCAGCACATGTCCACATGTCCACAGGTATACACCATACACCATACGTACATGCAGGCTCCACTATCCACTAGAGGCACAGTCAGGGTCACAGTCAGGGTCCCAGCAGAGGCACACTGAGAGCCAGTTCATGTACACGCACGTGTAATCCCCACACGGTCTGTCTGATCAAAGAGCTACAATGTCCTTCACACTTCACAGGGCAACTGAGTGCCGATCACTACACTCACACACATATTCATAGGGATGTGATCACTGCCTCACTACGATCACACAAGGCAGGCAGGCAGGCATTAGCCATTCATGTCCACCATAGCACCGGGCATCACACTAGCGGTGGCCACAGTACCAATCTGTAAGGTGAGTTCATGTTAGCGCAGGAGCAGGAAGCACTGTATGTGCATCACTTCCCGCTAGCTGGACACAGCACAATAGGCATGTCCCATGGTAGGATTGAGTAGCACTGTACGCCTGGCTAGCTTAGTATCTTTACGTTCTAAACATAGACTGGGTGAAATAAAGCCATCAAAAAGTGGCGGGTCCTCACTCTTCAAGCTGATGGCACCCATCCAGTGCAGCGGGTGGATGTGCTCCTACCAATGCCTGCCGCCTCGCCAAAACCGACAGTGCTGCTCTGCTTTGGTGCCGCTGTTGGCTGCGAGCCAGTTCTTGTCCTGGCCAGACATCATCATGTCAGCTGTTAACTGCTGGCCATCATACTCACAGGCTGGTGCAGTGAGGTGCAGGTGACTGATGGTGACTGGTGATGATGACCGTGGCGGAAAGGCAATGACCTTGCTGCTGCTGCTGCTAACCAGCTTGAGTAGGATCAAAGACCTGGATCATGACCTTGGGACTCTAACCTAGTGTGGGAGAAGCCGTACCTAGGCGGTGGTGGCGGCAGAGCACTGCACAAAGCCTGCTAGGTAGGTACATGTGCCTGTGGAGTAGGAGCAGGAGATAATTATTAGGTCTTCGCAGCAGGGGATCAATCTATTAGGAGCAGGGGATCAAGCATTTCCGGCCAGCCAGTTAGATTTTGATCTCATTCTCCTGAGTCCTGACCATGTACACACTGTACGTAAAACAGCTACCGACTAGACATTGTACACAAATACACGTACATGTACTACTACTACTACACACACACACACACACCTACAGTACAGACCTCCACCACACTATAGTACTAGTAGTACACTGGTAGCAAGCACACTCCTACAGACCTCCACTACATTGTATGCACGTGTACATGTGCATACAAGGCAAGCACACCCCTACAGACCTTCACTACACGGTGTACATGTGCATACAAGGCCAGCACTAGTCCTGGTGGTACAGCACAGCAAGACTGTCTTCCTGTGACCACAGTGTGCAGGGATTCAGTGCAACACTGCTTCTGCTACCATGGCCAGTTTGTGAGCAAGAGCACACTGTACATACCATGTACTCACACACAGGCAAACAGCAGCAGAAGGGGAAGGTAGAAACTGGTGCAGAAAGGCAGGAAGAAGGACAAAGAGGCGCATCAAGTGCCCCCATGAAGTGCCCAAGTGCAAGTGCAACAGGCCATGACTAAGTGGTAGAGGTGTCAGTAGTTCAGCAAGATATCATCACATCATCACATCACCACCATCCATACTCCACACACAGGCCCAGTCAGCAGCAAGACATCATCATCACACCACCACCACCATCCATACTCTAAACAGCAGGACATCATCACACTATCATCCATACTCTACATACAGGCCTAGCCAGTACACCAGTGTACCAGTATACCACATGAAGCTATTGAAGCTTAGTACCCACGCATGCCCACAACCCACTGACCTACATGTACATGACTGTACTCACCCTCTTCCAGTGTAACACTGTGTAACACACTGTGTACATTTCCAGCAACACACACACCAACTCACTGTACAGCACCCCCCATTACACAATGCCTCTACACTACACCAGCAGTAGTACCAGAACGCCCACAGCAAACTGCTATCACCACTGCACACCATCTGCAGCAGCAGCAGCAGCAGCACTAGCAGCAGTGCCCAGCACCACAACTGCACAACTGCAGTATGCACAGGCCACAGCCTAGCACATGCACCCACCAACAGCAGCACAGTCATGCACAGCACAAGGACTGCACCTGCAGCTGCACCAGGCCCAGGACACTAGTAGTAACACACTGCTACATGTAGTAATGCACAGCAAATAGCACTACCCTTGCCAGTACCCACACAGCAGACTAGCAACAGTTTTACTATTCTTACTAACAACAAGTAACAGATGTACTATTCTTAGTTGAGAGCAGCAGCAGTCATGGCCCATAAGTAGCAAATCCAGCCCACAAACACCACCATCTGACTTTTTTTCAAACACCTACTGCATGTAACAGTAAGACACCGCATTCAGTTTAGCTATGACATAGATCTCTTAGTCCAGGCTGACTCCTGTGCCCGTCCTGGCACTCCACACTGATAGGTCTACAGTTTCACTTTCACTTCATTTTCGTGTACATAGTTAGACCCATTGCCCTGCATGCTCCATATGGCACACACTCAAACAGGATACCCACAGATACTGTAGTGCAGGCCAAGACAGAGCTGAAAGGCTACTAGTACTAGTACTAGTGACACAAGCATACAAATAGTGTAAAACCTGTCAAGGCGACCACTGGGATAAGGTGACCATTCCCACAAGGCAACCACTCCACAAGGCGGCCACTCAGCAGCCGGACAAGGCAACCACTGGGACAAGGCAACCACTGGGACAAGGCAACCACTCTGACAAGGCAACCATCTGTCCTAAAAGACTACTGACACCAGGACCAAGGGATGCTATTTCCAGTCAAATGACCCTGGATAAGAAGACCCACCTGGTAACAGAGACCATGTTTTGAAGGTCTCTTGAGTGGTCCTCCTAGACCAGTTTCCTACAGTCTGTAGTGTAATCAGAATGCACCTTGCCTCTATACTATACACATGTCTTGGTAGCATAGGGATCTGCACTCACACAGGCAATCAGTGCAGACTCAAATTTGCCATTTGAACTTGTTATACCATCCTGTAGAGAATCCAGTGAGCTGAGGAGGCCACTAAACCAAGAGGACAAGTGTGACACAAGTGAGTCCCAAAAAGCCGGGAGTCTTGGCTCCAGCAAAGTTCATTACACACCATTCATGGAGTGAATCCCATCAAGCCTTTCCTTTCCCAGTTGCACACAGAAACAATCTAGAAAGTAGAGCTGAGGCTTTGCAGAACACTAGCCAGCCTTCAGAACAGTAACTACCAACTACCAGTACAACAACCATCTGGCCTTCTCTCTCTACAATGCGATTAGAATGTTTAAAGTCAAGAACATGTACAACTTGGACAGGCAGGGTAGGCAGGAAGAACCTACAGTCTATCCAGCCAGGCAGCCAAGCAGCCAGGTGTGGTACAATTATGAGTGAGAGATCATAATTATGACTATACATATACTTACAGTACTGGAGTCTACACAAGCACTCTAGCAGCCAATTGATTGAATAGACAGCCCAAATGACCAAGCCCCCCCCCCCCCCCCCCACACACCACCACCACCAATACTGCCCACATGCATACATACACACAAGGGCACACTCTCTAGTTTGGAGACAGAGCACAATGACCCAGTTGACATCCCATCGCACTGAAGCAGCCAGGCTGGCAACACACTGAATGCTACATTGCCTAACTGCCAAAAGGAACTGTCCTGCTACGCTGAAAGTAACTTTTAAAACTAGGCCCCTGACAAGTAAGTTAGTAGAAGTGCCAGTGGCTAAACCTGACAGCGTCACACCAGTCACAACTGCACTCATATACACCATGCTACTAACACAGATACACACAGGTACACACAGGCACACACATAGCTACACACACAGACACACACACACAGGTACACACAGATACACACATAGGTACACACACGGCATGAAGTTTATCCAGCCTACACACTTCCATGAAACTCTACTGTTCTCACAAACAACCCAAACCCAACTAGCAAACAGGTGTATACAATACATGCTACATCACACTGAAGGTGTAACAAGCCGTCACTCTGCTGAATAGTACTGCAGTCTGCTGTCAGTACCTACATTGTAGGTAGTACCCACACAGACATGTGACATGTGTGTAATACGTAACGCATGTAATACATGTATACACATCTCTGGGCAGTTGGAACATAGGATTTCAAGGTTACTTTTGAAGAAATCTGACCCTTAGGATAAAGCCCGAGCTCGTATTTAGTTTCTACATGGCTGTATGGTACACATGAGTGCCATATCCTATGTGGGGTTGGATTCCTTTGCCCCAAACCATTCTATGCCTTCTTCTTTTACTTTACCCCACCCCACAGTGTGTGCACACAAATACTAGTTGATAGACAACACATATTACAACAATCATAAGTTTCTTTCCTAAAGCAAACACACGCAAACACACACACACACACACACACACACACACACACACACACACACACACACACATACACCTCACACACACACATACTTTGGGCAAACGTCCTACGAAGGAGCTAATAGAAAACAAACAGCATGGGAAATGTTCACAGACTGCATTATGTTGCTACACTTGCCTTGAACCAGCACACCATCACGAGCTTCACCGACTGCGCCACCATCATCTTCCTGGCCCCGACTCTTTGCAGTTTCTTTCCTCTTGCAATCCAAGCCACACAAACACTCACACATAGGCTGCTCACAGCTGAAGCAGAGTACTGCACTTCACTGGAAACTAC